CTTTGACACAACTCAACAAGAAAACACACAGTGGGCATTTTTGACTAGAGCACGCGGACATGTGCTTTTATAAGAGAACTATCAGCTTTAAAATAGCAAGAAAATCGTTCATAAGAGAAGTGCATTGGTTATGTAGGTGATGGGAGTCGCTTTTGAATCTCCCAAATCTGTAAAAAAGTGTTTATGAAGCTAGTGCACGTGTTTCTGATCATTGATCATCAATACTATACTAATATTATATACTCATATGAGTAAAATAATTCCACAAATATGGAAATCAGATAAATATAAAATTATAGCGAAAAATCACATTGCTGGATATGCAAAACGATTGCAAACAATAATGGACAACGATGGCGTTATTATTGCTAAATACAAGTAACTTTTCTTTTATAACTTGTCTATATGTAAATGTTTATAACTTTTATACATGAAAAAAAATAAGAAATATACATATGTGAAAAAATAAAAACGTATATGCTTGTTTGGACCCTCACTATATGTCAATTGAAAGAGTAAATGAAGCCGTTTAAAATGCGCCGATTTTCGCGTATTTCATGTGTCATTTCATGATTGAATTTATTAAAATAATGAATACTATATCTAATTACAAGTGAGCAAACTCTGAAAATCACCCTAAAACCTCACTAAATTTGTTGCCTTCCAAATGATAATAATAGAGTTTTGTTCAGTTTTTTATGCTCTTTCGAATGGTAGAGTTGGAATTTAAAAAAATATTAAAATTTTATTAAGTAATTGCTAATTATTATTAACTAGTAATTAAATATTAATTAGTTAATTAACCATAATATAAGTATAATTACTTTTTACCAAAATGTAGCCCATTAAATTCTGCATCGAATGGTATATAGAACAACTTTCAGATGTTGTGAAATAAAGTAAAAATTAGCCAAACACTAAAAATGTGCTCTACTTTCCCCCTACATTTTACTACAGTGTTTAGTATTTTGACTATAACATTGTCATTACTCACTGAAAATCAAAAAGTTTTTTTACCAAAATGATTAGCGAAAAAAGCTCTACAAAAATAGATATAAGAGAAAAGTTTTAGAATATCCTTGCTATTCGTTTATGTGTAAAAATAAAAAAGTCTAGGCTTTTTTCGGCCCTCAATGTACCACGTAAATAACTTAAGAGGGAGTTTTGATTGATTGTGATTGTCTTAGGGAGTATCACAATCTTTTAAAAATTGATTATATAGTATATGGATGATGCCAAACCATCCAAGTTTAAAGGTGTTGATAATCCGTTTGAAACGAAACCATCGATATGGAATACATTCGGCTTCCCGGCTGAAGCAGATGAAAATGGTGAATTTCAGATAATTAAACAAATGGCTAGCTGCAAGAAGTGTTATCATACATACGCTTTCAAAGACAGTTCAACGAGTGGTTTGAATCGTCACAAATGTCCTCTGTCAGATGGTCAGACAAGGTTGAATTTTAAGAGAAAGATTGATGACATCGATACTAGTCCATCCACACCGTCCAAATCATCTTCTGTGCCATCAATGTGTCATACTTCTTTACCAACACCGGTCCAAACACTCTTCTCATCTCCATCTTCATTATACAAGAAGTTTACAGAAAAAAAAAAGAAGAAAATGTCACAAAATTGTTAGCGAAATGGTGCGCTCTGAACCTACGACCAATTAGTGTGGTACAGGACAGTGGTTTTTTATCACTAGCACAAGAATTTGTTTAACATAGGTAAAAGTACTACTTTTTTCACTATATTTTATCAGACAAAATTTTGTTCTACTACATGTGTTTTTATTTAGGTAACAATTGTGATCCAGTTCCTGTTGATGTTAAATATTTAATACCATGTAGAAAAACCCTATCACGCGAACTTGTGAATACAGCTGATGAAAAACGTCGTTTAGTTCAAGATGAATTGGAAAGAGCAGCTATGGATCGTTGTTTATGTATTATTCCTGATATGTGGACCGACAATCACAAATGTATTTCATATTTAGGAGCTACAGCTCAGTGGATAGATGATCACTTTTACTTGAGAAGTTTGGAACTATTTAACGAGAAATACGATCAGCCAAATAAAAAAGCTGCGAACATAATCAAAGTACGTTAATTTTTTTAAATTAATTATTACTTTCTTATTTAATTTTACTAAGAGATGTGTGCTCTATTTTTTAGGCTTTGTTAACTGGGTTATCTAAATATGGTCTGGATGATTATTTAAGTGGAATTACATTTGTGAGTGATCGTGGATCTAACTTTAAATGTGCATTAGAATTATTAGCAAGAAAATATGGTGTCAAAGTATAGTTTTGCGTGGCACATCGTTTAAATAACGTATTAAAGAAAACATTCTACCAAAACGACATGAAACAAACAAAGGTAGCTGCCGAACCACCTATAAACCCTAATTCTGACTATGTAGACGCGGCAAAAGCTGATTCAGAAGAAGAAGAAGAAGAGAACACGGATGACGACAGCAGCGATGATGAAGATGGAGATGACGAAGAGATGATGAAAATTATAACAATGAGAGAGAATGATTTAACACAAGTTAAACTGAATCAATTACCTCAGTATGTTACCGAAGTTATCAGTAACATGAAACTAGTCAAAGAAGTTGTGCGTTACATAAAGAGGGTAAGTTTGACTGTTGTTGTATTTTGAAACGAAAAATGTTTTTACATTTAGGTGAATTTAAATCAAGAGTTAGAAAAGGTCCATACTGTAACATTAAAGCAGTGTACTGTCGTTTGATGGTTATCTATGTCGGCATTACTTGAAAGTTTAGTAAAAGCTCATCATCAACTTCGTATTATAATGACAAATAATGACTCTATTCATCGTTTAAATAAATTACAAATGGAAACTATCGAAAAATTAGCTGAAATGTTAGAACCGTTTAAGGATGTAATGACTCGTATTCAAAGTTCGATAACCCCATCGATACACACTGTTATTCCGGCGGTATTTCATTTAAGAGAACGTCTTACGGTCACACGGACAGATAAACAGAATGAGAAAAAAGTTCGATATACTCAAGATAAACAGACAAAGTTCGTCTTTTAAAATGTATAGGTGGAAATATTTGTGTACTCTAGGAATGAATTATTTTAAAACTCATGCATTGCAATTATTAAATATTATGTTTGAGATTCAAGATGTTTACTGGTGTGCTTATTTTTTGAATCCAAAAACACGACATTTGGCTGGAGCAAGAACAAGAAGTTGAACGTTGCCATGAACCGATACGTGATTTAGTTGAAGAGGAAAAGGAGTTCATTAATTCAACACATAATGATACATCACATCATAAACAACAAACATCATCGCCTTCTCCTACTGCAGCAACACAAACACCACCGAGAAAAAGAGCGAAATTTACGTCAAAATATGAGAATAAAACGCGAGCGCAATCCCATTCAAATAATGAAGAATTTCAAGTTTATTTACAAATGTTTATTGATGGACTGGATAATGAGGACGAAGACAATGACTATGATTTAGAGACTAATGATTATGTTGAATATAATCCACTTTATTTTTGGCAACAACAACAGACGCAGTTGAAATTACTGCTACTTGCAAGAGTTGCACGTCGTATATTTTCTATTCCAGCAACAAGTGCTGCCGTTGAACGGTTATTTAGCGCATCTGGAAATTTAATTACACCAATTCGAGCAAATTTAGATCCTGACACAGTCAACAACTCAATATTTATTAGATCGGCTATGAAACAAAAAAACATTGTTCAACAACAAGTCGAAGAACGTTTAAAATACGAACAAAAACAGCGAATTAAACATGAACGCAGATTAAATCGGAATAAATAGAATGTTATTTATTTTTTATGCTGTCAGATATA